GGAGCTGTCCTAAGGTCAAATCGTGTGACTGCTTCCTTTATTGCCAGGGTGCTAGGGCAACAACAGGCCCTTGATGGTGTNTCTGTTGTTTTGAACATTGCAGACTGAAGCTCAGAGCTAACTTTTACACGTTCTGCCTTGGCTCCAAAAACCATTACCTCAGTTTTATCTTTGTTTAATTGGAGAAAGTTCTGACACATCCAGTCATTGATTTGTTCAATGCACTTACTCAGTGTTTGAATTGGAACATAGTCTCCCGGTGAAATGGTTACGTACATTTGTGTGTCATCCGCATAGCTATGATAACTTATTTTTGTTGTTTTTCATTATCTGAGTCAGCATGTAGATGTTAAAGAGAAGAGGCCCCAAGATGGAAAAACAATTACATTATAAATGTAACAATAACATTTGCCTTATTATAATAAGCCAGTAAAACCATATTAAATGGATTAAAGTGTACAATAAAACCGACAAGACAGACATAATAACACGTTTTAACCAAAACTTATTTTTACGATTTATTTCTGAGACTGGAAAGTACCATTTTTAGAAGCACGATTGGATCGGGCTTTACAAAATGTAAATGATCGCATAATGATGTTAAATCTAAAACATCCTGTTTGGATGCTAAATCTAAAACAAAAGTCAAAAGATAAAACATTTTTTATATAGTCCATAGTCCATTTTAACAATTCAGTTGCCTCTATTGTTTATTCATACATTGAACCTCTTTGGATTTTTTTTGCCTTTTAGCAGCTTTGGCACTTCTGAGACTCTGTACCCCTCCACACTAGTGCTATTGCTCACGAGGGTTCTCCTAAATGTGCTTTTGATTTTGAGTTAGGATGACAGGAAATCAAAAATCTACTGCCTGTGACATATGAGTTGTAAATCAAGCCTTTTGAGTGCGTGTCCCTGTGATGGCCTGTGTGTGTGATACGCCTCAGAGGAGTGATCTATTGTTTTGATATAAAAGATGTTCCAGCAGATAAAATGCAACAAGCTAAAAGCAGAATCGTCCCCTCAAGACATCCCAGTTTGCCACTGACATGTCAGTTGGCCCAGATGCTCTTTAAGATTTGCAGGCAGACTCTCTTTTTTCTCTCAGCCTTATTTTACTTTGCCGGTGTATTCACTTCTGGCTAACATTAGAGCCCGATATGAGATAGGAATATTAGCCTGGCAATATATATGCCATATATCAGCATAATCCGAACCCTGCGGGCAGATTTCCTCGTTCCTTTGAGTCCAATTATAGAGTGTGTGTTGTGTGAGCAGATCCAGCCAGTGCCAGCCACCTCTTCTCATCCTCGCTCTGACACCCACACACACACTGACATATACCCGGCTAAAAAAACGCATCGACTCACACACACACACACACACACACACACACACACACACACACACACGCACGCACACACACACAACAATTTGACACATTTCCCGCTCTTATGTGCCCATCATGGATCACACGTGGCACACACACTACATGTTCAGTGTCTGTTCTTTGTATATTTACTGCAGTTCTTCATGTATACCAGTCTGATACAATANACACCCACACACACACTGACATATACCCGGCTAAAAAAACGCATCGACTCACACACACACACACACACACACACACACACACACACACACACACACACACACACACACACACACACACACACACACACACACACACACACAGGGTAGATGATTTGTACAAATGTAACGAGGCATGCTGTGCCGCTGCATTGTTGTTTACTCTGTCACATTTTCCCTCTTAGTTAACAAGGCAGAATGTATTTGAGCAAAGGGAGGATTATCGTTAACTAACTATCTCTTTCTTCCACCTATACATTAACTCTGGCTCTGCTAAATCTATTTATACACTTATAATTTGATTTAGCTATACCTGCCAGGCTAAAATTCGTTCATGTGACAGCTTACAAATCAATACCTTTTCTAAATGAATTGTGAAAAGTACCTCCCAGAACGATCAATTTTCCAATCTTACACTTTCCAAATCTGTTACAAATCACTGTTGCAGAACATCAAAACGTTTTCTAATCGGAAAAATATATGATTCAGTTGGGCTAAGGCACAAAAAAAGACTTGGTTAGGGAAAAACCCCGGTCATGGAAAAAATAAACTGGTGTCAACTGTCGTAAAACAGTAAGCCAGCCATCCATCCACCCTGAGCTCCTCCATTGCCTTGCTTTCTGCTGATAATCCCACATGAGTCGTATTTTATGAGGGTTGAAATGTCCAGACAAAAAAATAACGATATCTCACAAGTGTCCAACTTCCCAAATGACTGTTTTTTAAACCACTTGGTGTCTATTATAATAAGTAAACAAGGGACTTTGGGAACAGCCATTTACCCTACTGCCATAACAGGTCTTAGTTGAAGGCAAACAAATGTCCTTTTTGGACAAATGTTGAGTCTAATGTTTCTGTTGCTGTCTCTCAAGATACAACTGGACAGCACTTTCTGTGAATATTTCCTTTTTATCAGAGGATAAATACCTTGACATTGGTGATAGCCGGACTTTTCCTCCAGGATGGCAAAATGGCGATGACTCACATGTGTCCAATTTCCCAAATGACTATGTTTTAACCACTTATGCCCCTTTCACACCAACGCGTTTTCAGCTCTGGCTCGGAGCTGGAGCCTGAAAAGTACCGGTTTTTCATGTTCACACCACAGCGGCGCCGCCTCTTAGCTCCGGAATCCGGTTCACTTCCAGCTCCAAAAAATTGTCGGTCTAGAGGCAAGAAAATTCCATCTTCTCCACCCTCTTGGACCCCCCCAAAGCCCCTTCCCCCTCCTCCCTTCTGTCAAGCGACTTTGTTAACCACTTTGAAAAAACGGTTGATGATATTCGCTCTTCTTTTTCTGACTCACCTTTACTCACCGCTGGGTCACCAGACCCTCCCTTCACCCACACACTGACCTCCTTCTCCCCTCTCTCTCCAAGTGAGGTTCTTACCCTCGTTACCTCTGCCCGTCCTACCACCTGTCCTCTGGACCCTATCCCTTCAAACCTCCTTCAGACTATCGCTCCTGATATTCTACCGTTTCTCATTTCATCAACACTTCTCTAACTTCTGGTCACTTTCCAAACAGTCTCAAGGAGGCAAGAGTAAACCCTCTCCTAAAGAAACCTACTCTCAACCCGTCTGATGTTATAAACTACAGGCCTGTCTCTCTCCTCCCGTTCCTGTCTAAAACACTTGAACGCGCTGTCTTTAAACAACTCTCCTGTTATCTCCATCAGAACAACCTTCTGGATCCGCACCAGTCTGGTTTCAAGGCAGGTCACTCCACAGAAACTGCTCTCCTTGCTGTCACTGAGGAACTGCACACGGCTAAAGCAGCCTCCCTCTCCTCTGTCATCATCCTTTTGGACCTGTCTGCTGCATTCGACACGGTGAACCATCAGATCCTCCTTCGCACTCTCCAAGAACTTGGAGTTTCAGGCTCTGCACTTTCCCTCCTCACCTCATACCTCAAAGACCGCACCTACAGGGTNGGGGGCGACCAGCTGGGGAGCTGTGTGTGTGTGTGTGTGTGTGTGTGTGTGTGTGTGTGTGTGTGTGTGTGTGTGTGTGTGTGTGTGTGTGTGTGTGTGTGTTGTCTTTGGATCGCTGCCTAAGCAGTGACGGAGACACCATTAGCCCCTGGTTCTGGCTTGTTAGAGCGTTCTTTGAGCACAGCGAGGGGCTGAAGGAGGAGGACGCCGCCACTGCAGAGCGGGAAGAGCAGCGTGCTCATAAGGCTCTCAGTGATGTTTCATTACACTGTCAAGCTAGTTTAGAGCACTTGAACCGTGAAATGTTCAAGTCATTGGGTCATTTTATTTCATGATCATTGTGTTCAATGAAATCCTTTGTTTGCTTGTAAATAACTCCACATTCACTAATTGGTTTCTCTCATTCATAAATATATTTAATCCCATACGAAGAAAACACACCATTTCACTTTCAACACCCAGCCAACTCATTTCAGCTTCAGCCGTTTCAGTCTCTTTAGATTACAAGTCTGCAGATATATTGAAATTTGTGCTATGTTGAGAACTGGCAGCAGTTCACAGGTCAG